ACACACATGGGTGGGCAGGGGAAGGTCAGAATATCAAACCAGATCAAAATCCACAGTATCTTTTAAAACCCTTGTGTTGGGGGGGGTCTAATTAATGGTTTTTGAACTTCTGGAGTCCACAACCCTGATATCTATTTCCAGCCTTAAGTAATCAAAAATCACGAGTCGGGTCCTAACATACGATGATTGACTTAAAGCTCATGAGATATTTTTTAAACTAATAATGGGGTTTTATTGACTTTCTGGTTTTCAAGCTTTTCTCCATAGGCATGGGGGCTAGAATATTTTTTTTAGATGAAAGATTTTTACCTACTCAGAAGATTCTAGGAACTGAGGTGCTAAGAAAAATCACCAAATACTGTGTGCAACTTACACTAAAATCACGAGTTGGAAACACTACACAATAGAAAGTGGAACCAGGTTTAGGCACCTTTTAGAGAACTGTACCTTTTAGACAAAGGATAGATGTAAGGCGAAGACCAGTAAAGTCCCATCAATGGTTTGGAATGACAGAACAGAAAGATGAATGAAGCTGTGAAGCAGGTACAAGGTAGAAAGTGGTGGAAAGCCTTCATTTGGCCCCACTGTTGCCATTGTGCTGACAGATGGGAATCGAAGAAAAATTGCCTTGAGATCTGTTGCTTCCAGAGCTGATCAGGTTGGCAGTGTTTTGACTCACTAAACCAATAAACAGCATATTCTCCCACTATGATACACATTTCTGCTTCTACATTTCTCACCCTCCCTACAGCTTCCACCCACTACTAGTGACCAGGGAGGCTTTACTCTTTCCAATTCCAGTGCAGGACCTACAAGCATCTGTATATGACCACTGATTGGGAATACAGCACTGGGTTGTCAGCAATTGCAAAGAAAAATTGAGAGAACATGCTCAGCCCCGCCATCTCAGCCCCTCGCTCATCTACACAAAGCTTGAACAGACATCAAGGGACATTCATTAGGTTATGCTCTATTGGCAGGGCATGCTTAATGAATAGGGGCATACATTTGTCTCATCCCTAACTTGAGACAAAACTGCTGATCTTTAGGGTTCACCCCCCCCCCCCGGCATAACAAGGTCACAATCTTTATAGCCTATTGAACAAGACCCCTGCATGATTTCCCATATAGTCAAAGGTGGGAGAGTAACCTGTGCTGGGTTCTGAATGGTTTTAAAACATTAAATTTAAATACACATTATTACAAAATAATGTTTTGCTCAAAATAATGGGGCATCAGGCTTTCAACATTTTTTAATCAGCAGTATTAATAATATACAGGAGCAAAGAATTACTGCCACCTAAAAGAGAATGGCTTTGTAAATTGGCTGCATGAATGACTTTGGGGAAAAATTAAACAATCAAATGAGATTGTTCAGGATTTTTGATAATCTGCAGGTTTTTGTGCAGGGGAGGGAGAAGTAGGTAGAACAGTTACACTGGCTTTGTTCTTTCTGTTGAGAAATTCCACGGGTAGACTGGGCAAAACAGTTACTTGACTGATGTGTGAGATGCTAGCTTGTGTGTAAGTTTCTGCAAGGAGCTTGCCTCTCTCTTGCAAGACTGTGTAGTCTTCAACACAAGTAGTGTATTGATACCACTCAGCTCCTTCATCAGACTGAACTGGAGTGGTACTTTTGCTTACACAGCATGTGACTAAGACAGGGGCATAAATTAATATTTATCATACAGTAATGCCTAGAGGCCCCAACTGAGAACAGGGCTCCATTGTGTTCAGACACAGAGTAAAAGATTGTCCCTCCCCTGAAAGACTTACAGTCTAAACAAACAAGACAAGCAAAGGGTCGGAGGGGAAACAGAGGCACAGAAAGGTGCCTAAGAAGGTAAGTCGCAGAGCCAGAGATAGCAATTGGGTCTCTTCGTTCCCACCTCTTCTAGAGGAAAGTGAATTGACTGGAGATAATTTCAGAGAAGAGTGAGGAAGTGCTGGGGTTGAGGGAGCAGCAATCTCTAGAGAATATGACAAGGAAGAGATCAGTTCTTGCCTGTTAATGAATGCACCTGACATTTGTCACCAAGATATGCCAGAATTGCCCCTGGTTTCCAGGTAGCTGCAGTAACCAGAGTGTTTACTCATGTAGGCCAAAGCCTTGTCCAAACCCTCTATTCCTGTGTGCCCTCAAGAATGGAGTATCACACTATTCTCTGTGGAGGTTTGAAGATTCCCTTGGAAGAACTCTTTATCTGTTTCCATAAAGCACCATGCACATCATCAACAATTAACAAGCAATTAAGCTTCAGCTAGGGTTGTGTTGATTACATGTGTGCTGTGCTAGCAGCATTGACTGATTTTCTCCTGTGTATGGCTCAAAAGGTTGACTTTGATCTATAGAGCCCTAGAGGGGTTGTGTCTGGGCTACCTTAGAGTACTTCTCTACTTCTGCACCATTCTAACTATTGAGATCAGCTGGTGCATACATAGTAACAGTCCTCAGACTAGAGTGCAGTCTCCCAGGAGAGGGGGGAGACACAGCATGCTCAGTACGCTCTTGCCTCTAAAATGTGTTTCTCCTCTTAGTCCAATGCATCAAAGTGTTGTCCTTCAGGAAAGGATGAAGTGCTCATCTATTCAGGCTTTTGTCTGTGGCCAGACACATTTTAACTGAAAAATAAGTAAGACTGTCACCCACCTCTGTCATTCCCTTGCGGCCATTTCCACTCCTAAACTCTTCCACTACAATCTAACTGAATTTCTAGGCACAACAACACAGATTAACACTGTTTCCTTTATTTTGCAAAATCTTAGTCTCCTGCCCTCCCTTCAGCTCTGACATCAGCATCCTGTATATCAGACACCACTAATTAATAGCAACCAGTTTGCTTTTCCTCTCTCCCACCTACTCAGGGTGAAAGCTGGTTCCTGACACCAAGTTGCATTGTATTTTTCAATCTAAAGCTATGCTTTTCTGACTCAGTCTTTCTACACACCATTCTTCAGTAGTGTTGTTAGCATTAGACAACACAGAAATAAAACACTCTCCAGCAATCTCGCAAGAGGCCTCAGGAAAGCCTGCCTATATAATGCATGGATGGCAGGTGTATTTGATCCTGTAGGGGTACAGGAGTACCTGGGCTCTTCTTTTAACCCAGCCTGTTAGAGCACATTAGAACCCTGCACAAAGCTGCTCAGATCTTTTGTGAGCTATTGTGATAAATGGGCTTGTTAACTCCACCAGAATACAGATGAGCAATGGCAGCAACCTCTGCTCAAGGAACTAAGGGAAGATGTAAGGAGGCCACACAGGAAGCCCTAGGAATAGCCTGGCTTGGGGAGAAAGCTGAAGTGCAGGTTTACGTTCTGTTATCACCACCATAGAAAGCCAAACCCAGGAAGAGGGCAACTTTGACCTCATCCAGCACGTACAGTGTATTTGGATCAGGTTGAGAATGACGCCTACTCAGAGCTGGCTTTCATGAAAAATACTGCCTATTGATGAGGAAAAGGACTTCAACAGCCTCTGTTTCCACTGCTGTTCCACAGGGTCTTCCCCGTTATCTGGGTTTTAGTTCAGCTATCTTCCCATTCCTGGAGTGGGAAGCAGAGATCCATATTAGTGAATCTGAGATCACCATACAGGACATGGTCATGGTGGAGGGAGAAATTAAATTGCAGACTGTCATTGGACGGTCTCCCAAGCACCTCCCACCTAGCCTCTGGGATAGCCCCATGCCTCAGTTTCCCCCTTCAAGGGGCTTTTTCAGTAAATCACAAACCCTTTTGTCCCTTCACAGCCCTTCTCTGGTTCTGGTTTGTTAAATTAACAAAACATTCAACAAAGTTCTCCAGTCCATTTCCCTGCTCCCCAGGTTTCTCTGCCGACACCTGCTCACTCCAGCAGCTTCTATCTGCCAGTCTGTTCTTCTTGGGAACGAACTCACTCTCCCTGTGCAGGACTAGCAGCCTGGCTTCTTCTTGTTGCTCTTTATAGGGGAATCAGGTAACCCTTGCTCCTGTGTGCTTTCTTAGTAACTGGGGTTAGGTGGCCTCACCTTTGAGCTCTTAATGGGCAAGGCACCCTGGTACAGTGACATTTGATTAAATTGACAGGCACCATATTTAGAACCAAAAAGGATATTTCTATATATACACACAAAGCAGTTAGCCAGTAGAACTCATTGCCTCAAGTTATCACTGAGGCCAAGAGTTCAGCAAGATTCAAGAAATGTTTAGACAGTTATATGGATAATGAAACCATGCAGAGAAACAACAGATAGTATCTTTAAAAAAATCTAAAGTTTGGAAGAACACACTCACGCTTTAGGGCACACAAGCCAGTCTCTAACAGATGGATGTTAGGAAGAAACCTGCCCATGGGAAAAATTATTACGTAATTGTCCAGCTTTGGGTTTTATTGTACCTGCCTCGGAAGCATCCAATACTAGTCACCGTCAGACAGTGTACTGGACTACTGGTCTGATCTGTTATGTCAATTCCTGTTTGTGTGCAGGAGTTTTGGTCAATGGGGTAAAACCTCTGGTTTAATGCAAAATGCAGATTGCTCATCCATCTTTACTAAGGTGGCTGTTTTCCACCTCGTTAAATGAGCAGTGTGGCACAGCATTACAAGCAGTGCAGAATAAGTTTTACAAAATATACTGCTGACTAGAGACACAGCTCTGGTTGTCAGTTTAAAAACAAGATTGTAGCAACAATCATGAGATCACAAAACATTATCAGATTTTGCTAGTGCTAGATCACAGTCCTTCAGAAAGGGGAGCAAACTGCATGCTTTATGACAGGGGCTGGATCCACAATGCAAATCTTATTCAATGAACTTGACAGAATTTAGATGCAAAAGTGATCAAAAGAAAAGAAAAAAAGCAGCTTCTTATAAGCCATTGAAGGGGTCTGGCAGATCACCAAGGACTGGCTAGGTAACCCTTCAAACCATTCCTCCCCTTGCTCAGATTACACAAGCAGTTTGTTGGTCAGGATAACCAGAACTTTTGAGTCAGTGGCTCTTTGATCTAACATTAGGCTAAGCAAACTAGGAGAAAATTCAGACACTACAGACACATCATCAGCTTGGCTTTAATAAGTGGTGTAACCACCTATCCTTTTTATTTGGTAGCATCGTAAATAAACATTGACTCATCCTCTCTGTTCACCTCTAGTGGCTGAACCACAGAAGTTTGAGTCTGCTACATCCTTTGGCTAACAAAGCCAGGTCTTTTAGTCCAGGCAGGAGAGGATCATGCTTTAGATCCACTGTTCCAGAGTTCGATCCCTGCTGCTGACAGCGCACCTAGAGAGATCACATTACAACAGCAATACCTGGCAGTTTAATACAAACAAAAAACTACATCCTAACATGTTTGTAACTACCATCAGACCCCGTAGCTCCTCCAGAAGCCTGTTCTCACAGTCACTCATCATTTGGAGAAACAGCCTTGTTCTCATCTTCATCCAAATCTTGCAGCTGTTGACGAGAAAACTCCTCAAATACCAGGTTTTCATCCTGGGCACTGAAATGAAGGAAAGACAGGCCTTTCAAAACTGCATACCCCCATAGTACTGAGCTCAGTTTTCCACTTGGAGCCCTTCATTGTCACTTCTCTCTTCCCTTTACGTGCAATGCCCTCCGACTTCACCAGTGGTGCCTTAAGTCCTGAACCAAAGCCCCCTGAAATCAATGGGTGTCTTTCCATTGACTTCAATGGGCTTTGGATCACATGCCTACAGCCCAGCCCTGTTGAGGTAGCTAGGACAGCAGTCAACAGCTGTTTTCTACACTAGTCAGGATAGTAGCCATGGAAGTTTACTAAATGCTATAACATGTCCTTCCCGGCTGAATAGCATAGTCTCCAGCTGGACACCTTGGAAATGGGAAGGGCTTTTACAGACTACTAGAATTAACCTGTGGAATCAGTCTTATCCTGCTCATTCTACATTATGTTTCTGGACAAGACTAGGGGAATTTCAGATGCTTTAATCCCCCAGGAGGGATGACCAGCGGGACAATATTAAAAAGAAGCTTCATACCTCTCCATCACTGTAATTACAAGCATGCATAAAAGAAGAAAGAGGAGACACAGCAGAGGGTTAGAATAGGAGTTTACTCTAAAGCTAACAGGAATCTCACAAAATAAGAAGAGACAAAAAGATAACTGGTTCAGGAAGTGGTGTTTTTTTCCTGGAGCTTGAGGAGCAACCCAGAAAAGCCTTATGTCATAAACTTTATCTCAGTGTATAAAATATTGGTGCCCGGATGAAGCAAAATTAAATCACTTTAGGGCCTGTTTACATGTGGAAACTGACTGGCATAGATACAGCAGAGTAATTATACCATAGCTAAGGCTATACCGGTATAACTCCCCATGTGGACGCTCAGGGCTGGTCTCCACTTACCAGGGGATCAACGCGCAGCGATCAATCCACCGGGGGGCCAAAGACCCGCTAAATCGATCGCCGCTCGCTCTCCCGTCAACTCCAGCACTCCACCGGAACGAGAAGCAGTAGGTAAGTCAATGGGAGAGTTTCTCCCGTCGACCCAGTGCAGTGTAGACACTGCAAAAAGTCAACCTAAGCTATTAACGTAGCTGGAGTTGCATAACTTAGACTGTGCCCCATAGTGTAGATCTGCCCTCGGTCCGGAATAAGAGACTTTATTCCGGTATAATTACTTGAAACAGAGTAATATGGAACTGAAGCTCTTAGTTGCAACATATTCCATCAGCAGAGCTCAGACATCAAAGGGGCTAAGGAGCTAAAAAAGAACTTCCCACGTTGGCTTGCTAGGAACAACTGCTGCGAAAGGCGTGCTCACCTATTAGCACCAAGCAGAGGTGATACTGCTTTGTGACATGATATTTCTCTTAATTGGTCTGTCACTCTTATTTAACTAGCCAGCCTGAACAGGGAAGAAGCCATTAATAAGCATTAAGTCAATTAAATCGCTGTACAGAAGACAAAGTGGTAGGGACCACATTTCAGCTCTTTTCTTTATTTGGCAGCTTTTATTTTAGAGAGCAGAGCTCAGAATTTTACACTTGCTTAAATCTTACACATAACTCTTTGGCGCTAGCCAAATGCATTCACATAATGGGATTTTAGCCTACGCTTTCACAGTGAGGCAGTATTCCTAGCCGCTTGCTTCCCTTTGGCTAACTTGGTGCCCTCAGAGGTCTCTCCATAAAGTAGTGATTAAGCAGAGTGTACTGTGTTGTGGTGGTGGAGGGGGGTGGTTTTGGGGTCTGCTTTTCTGGTCACTTTAGCTCACGAAAGCTTATGCTCAAATAAATTGGTTAGTCTCTAAGGTGCCACAAGTACTCCTTTTCTTTTTAGCTCACCCAGTGACAGCTGCATCACCCACCCCTTCCCCTGAGCTTAATTGCAGCCAGCTAGGCCAGACTGTCCCAGAAGAGGTCAGTGTTTCTGGGTGTCTTAGTAACTTGGTGCCAAACTCAGGACCCTGAGCTCTAGACTCCCAGGGGCGTTAAGCACCCACAACTCCAGCTGAAGTCAGTGAATGGATGATTCTCAGCACTTCTGAAAACCAGGCCTTTAAAGTGCGTCAGACCCAGCACCCGTAAACAGAACCGCCTAAAATTAGTGGATCCTTTTTTAAAGCACGGGTCTGTGTTTGTATTCCATACTCAGAGGATCATTTACTGTACCCATTGACTCCATTAAGAAATCTGGGATGTAGGAATCTTATCCAATGGTCCAAGCTCAATTGAAATGAGTTGGAAATTAAATATTTAGAGCAATACTTTCAGAAGTGCCATCACACACCATTTTGCTTTTGAATCAACGGTGTTAACATTCTTTCTTTAAATACAGTCTTTTGCCTTTTCTCCCATTTGAAGTATGATAGTTACTAAGGAAACAATGACATCACTGATGTGGGCGAAGCTTAGTGGTATCCATAAGTGCAGTATGCAGTCAATTTTTGTATAATGGGTAGGGGGAAACACGCACTGTTTTAGTCAGATTTAGAGTTTGTCAGGAGACGAGTTACATAGGTAGGTGCTGTGCTATATGCAGCACCATAACGCCCATGACACGGTGCTAGGTTCGATTATGCTCCGAAAGACGCAATTATACTAATTTTAGCTTAAAGCAGCCTTTTCTTCCCACAGGCTCATTAGCTAGAGGCCAACACTCTTCTTGCCTCGATGCAACGTCTCTCTCTGCTTCGCAGTTCATGTACAATTATCATGTAGCTAAAGTTCTCAAGAGCCTGAACAAGGCTATGCAATTTCTTGCAACTATCCAATGTCTAAATAAATACAACTTGGCCTTTCAGGGTTTTGGGTTTGGGTTTTTTTTTTTTTTTTTTGTGGGGGGGGGGGGGGGTTGTCTCATAGGACAGAAAATAGTATTTCATCACATGGTGTGGAAAGTTTTCTATAAGCTTGCATTATAGAATCAGAGCAGTGACTCTATAGAATTAAAGTTGGGACAGATGGTAATTTCTATTATAAGCCTGATTTTATCCTCTCCTAGCTTTTGGGGAGAGGTGGCGGGGCCTGTTTATATTTTTTTTCAAGTGTATTTTTAAGTCTTCAAAAATAGTAATTTTTGAAAGTTACAATGTAGCTAAGTGTATTACAGGTGTGAAATAAGATTTAAAGAGATGCAACCAATGTGTACACACTGTAGGAGAAATCCCAGACACAGACTATACAGAAATCTGAGAAAGGAAAGGTAGTAATCAGTTCCTGTCCGTCCTCCAGGCACAGAAATAAAAAAAGGAGACAATAGTTAGCAATAGCCCTCCACTTCCGCTTTTAACTTTTAAAACAGCGTTGTAACAAATGCTTCAAAGATAACGTACACACACATTTAAGGGACAAAATCTGCTGATGCAACTCAGCACAGCTCCATTTATTTCAATGGAGCTGTGCCAGCACGGACCAGTAGAAAATGTGGTGAGAGAAAAGAGACCGAATCCTCGACTGCTTCCTCTGCTTCACACTTTGCCTGCCTGTTTGAGATTCCCTAGGCTCAATTCATCCCTGCACAAGTAAACATGCTGATACTGGATACATTCTATTTACTCTGACCCTGTATAATCCTGGGTGGATTTTTTGGGTGGTGATGGGGAAATAGAGGTGGCATTAGTTTAGCCCAGCCCACTAAGGGCATCTTAATATGATTTTCTCCTCTGGCATTTTAATCCCACTATATTTTTGGCTTTATAAGGTGATCTCCTTCCTGCTTCTCAACTGCATCCTGCCCCCCCCCCCCAAAAGAGAGACAGCAAAGTAAGTAGGGAGGCACAACAGACAAATTGGTAACTTTTAGTTCATCAGCAATAATGAAGGGAACAGAAAAGATGAGGATGACAACTGATCTCAAAGTCCCCACTCATAAACACCTTTATCTAGCCCTCTTAGGAGCTGCACAAATCAGCTAAAAGAATTAGTCTGTCTCCTGGTGCTTCAAGATTCCCTAAACACTGTTTGCTATAGCTCAGTCTATGCAATTAACTTTTGATCCACTTAATGAAACAACATCTAATTTGGAACTAACGAAGCACATCTTTTTTCTCAGAGTTCAGTGAAAAACTGGTGGAATCACTATTACAAATCAAAAGCATGAAATGACTAACAGGAATAGTGATTAGAGATAACACAGGAAGCCAGAAACTGCAGGATCTGGAAAGATTTTTAGTTTACCATCTTAATTTGGTAGGTTTTATTCTCTATTTTGGGACACTCATGTTGTGTTTCAAAATCTGCTATGCAGGTTTCAAAGGGATTTTATTTTGTTCATTGTGTTTTCCTTTTTGAAGTGAAGGCATTTCTTCCCCCAATTAACTGCTTTTAGGGTTCCCCACACAATTACTGGCAAGTCTGTCCTGTTATTAAGTTATAGGAAATCTGCTATTTTCATCTGTATGATAACCTAAAAATGAACTGTTGGAGATGGCTATGATTTAGCAAATGATATGTGGGCTGCTTCTTTGGTAAGAACATGTGGCGGAGGAGTGTTTGAGAGGGATGTTTTGCAATCCTGAATTTCCAATGTATCCTTTTAAAGGCAGAGAAAAAAAGATCTATACTCTGTCTGAGACTGGACTGAAGTAAGAGGAAGATTCCATGGCTCTGGCATTAGTGTTTTCCCATAGAGGCACCAGGCCTACTTCCATTGTTAGGTTGCTGAGTGTTTGAACATGCGGGCATGTGCACACACATGCTTATGTAATGAACTGTAGCTACAAACAGACACCACAGCTATCAGCATCAATCAAACCTGTAATCTTCAGTTCCCATTCTATTTGAATTACAGGAGTAAATTAGGTATCAAGAAAGAAGTATCTTTGCTGGGATCAGGCCCAAAGCTCATGCACAGTAGGACAAAGTATTACCGTCTCCCAGTCGGATAATCTAGTCCCAAGCATCTCAGTCCACAGGAGTTCAAGTCCACCTAGAGCTCTATTTTATAACAAATCAGATTTGATTCCCAGTGTTAGCCATGGTATACATACAGATGTGCTCACTGTTTGTTACATTTAGGGCTCATCTTGACTGCAACATCTAGCCTGAATTAGTACAGTCAAGTTAGCCTAGCTCAAGTAAGAATGGCCACAGTGCAAAATGACAGGCAAGCTACACAAAGCAATTGGCTTAGCATCTGAAAAGTTGTGCAAACAGTAGCTGGAGCCTGTAACAGGTCACTGCATTATTAGCTTGAACATTAGCCGCACTCAAACATCAACCCACACCCAGACGGGCCAGCTAGCTTGAGTTTAAAGCACCCTTTAACTAGAGCTACAGATGTATTTGTGGACAGGAAGCGGGTTAGGGATAACACAAGTTATGTCTTAACCCAACACTGCGGTGAAGACAAACCCTTAGTTGTGGAAACGTGTTTGGGGAATAATTAAAAAGGAATATAGTGAACTAAACAAACAAAAAAAACCAATTATGTCTGAAAATATATCTACTGAAGTCACTAGAACTGAAAAGTTAGTAAGTGTTCCCACCCCCAACCCCTGTTTGTTTACATTGTGCATTTGATAGCAATATGGGTAACGTTTACAAAAGTACCTAGATGATTTAAGAGCTTTGTTTTGCTTTCAAAAATGCTTTCAGGGTCTCCTAAGACAATGGGACTTAGGCATTTTCAAAAATTGTGCCCTACATGACTGAAGCTGAAAAATCCCATGGATTTTCAATGATACTTTGGCTCCTTAATCACTTAGACATTTGAAAAATGTTACCCTTGAAGATCTCCAGTCATTTCCACTGTTTCCTCTGCAAAGTTAATCAGTTTCTCCCTTGCTGGGAAGACCCTTATAAACATCAAGAGGGGAGAAGGAAAAAAACAGTTCTGATTTCTGTAAAGCAATCTTTAGTTTAAAAACCCCTATGATATTCTATTGAAATGATGATCAGCAATGGAAATTTTCCAAAATTAGCAAGTTTATTACAAATACAAGGTTGGCACAATGTCCCTTATAACGTCTTCTCCCCCTCCTGCTCCACGTGTGTGCGAGAAGGTGTCCTATTTTTATATTTTATACACACATGCATTGAGAGAGTGTATGTGCCAACTTCTTGAAAACGTGGAAGTGGTCCTAATTTGAAGCATTCTGCATCTGGTTAGATGTGATATCTGCCTGCCCTCCATTTCTCCTGATACTCTACATTCTTCTGCCAAAATTATCTGCCTGAAGTGTGGGGAAGTAGAAGAGGGCTTTGCTGACAGCAAGCGTTCAAAAAAAAAAAAAAAAAAAAAATCACACCATGCCCCTCACCAAAAATCATGCAATTAAAAAAAAAAAAAAAAGATATCCATGAGATTTTGGGTTCTTTTGATTTGCCTCCTGCTTTGAGCCCTCAGGTTATACTTGCAAATATTTTCAAGCTTTTCTCTACAGCCATGACAGTTAGAAATATTGTAAATGAAAGGTGAGATTCTCATGTGCTCTTGATTCCAGCCATTGAGGCTTTTAAGAAAGACTCCAAAACATGACAACACTCATGATGATAGAGTCACAACAGTTGGCAACACTGTCTTCTTTAATCTGCTTGCTTGAGGAGTAACAAACCGTTTGTTACTCATTCCCTCCCCTGAAGTCAACGTGCGAAGCCTGGAGTTTTGGGTTTCTCATATCTTTGTGGAGCCATGTGTCTCCTTAACACTGCTTTGGAGCAAGCATTTAGTTCAAATGCTTTAGTTTTTTGTTTTGATTTGGTGGCTCAACTTCTTATCATGGAGTTATAATACTGAGCTCCCGTCTTATTTATTCAACATATCCTGCCATATACTTTTATGGCCACTAGGTGTCTCGCTAGTTATAGTTCTGCCTACGAATTTGGTGTGGCATTTTTTCCTTCTCTGTCATGCAGTTTAAGATTCCCATCAAAGGGAAATCTAGTTTGAGAAACAGTTTTAGAAACTCCTTTAGTTCACAGTGTGCTGGCTGCCTTGGCTGGGCATGGCTTTGGTACAAATATGTTTTTAAAAATTAGATCACTGTTTTAAGACCAGGTCACAACCCAGCCTTGAACAGTGCTAGGGAAACATTACACCCTATCCAGAGCCATGTTAGCTGGAATTGAGTTTCACTTCCTAACAAGGGCAAAATTAACATGGATAGGACCTTTAGTCTGTGCCCTGATATCTGTTTCTTCTCTCCCTCGGTACCAATGTCCTGCTCTAATTCAAAGCAAATTAAAGACAACAGGATTCATGTCTGTCCCTTTCAAGTGGGGGTTACAGTTTAGGACAAAATGCCCATCTCTACAGAACCCTTCTCTTTTGCCCGCCTCTGACCCTTTTCTTTCAGTACATCAGGGTTGGTTTGCTCATTTGACTTGGCTTTACCTCTTTGATAAACTTGTCCTGTAGTTCTTGCACCATCCCCAAGAGCAATGGCTATGTTCTTGGGCACAGCAGGATTGCACGTAACCCATGCTTTAGCTTTGGGCATTTAGTTATTTATTTTATGTGCCCAAAGACAGGGAGAGAAGCAGTGGAGGAGCAAGGGATTTTTCTTTGAATACTGTCTCTTCACATATGCAGAGGGCAGGGCAACTCAGCTAGAAGGGCCTAGAAGCATCCAACAATAAGGTGTGTCAGTCATTAGATAGGCTCAGTTCCTGTTTCAGAAGTGGTATAGGAAGGTTCCATTTAGGACAAGCAGTTTGCAGGTTCCTCACATAGGCGCCATCTGAGAGCTGAGCCAATCAGAGCTCATGGGAGAAAGGTTATAAATAAAGGAGTTGAAGACAGCCCTGCGAGCTCAGTAGCTGATTGACCAAGAGATGGTGTCTGCTTTGAGGGCTTGTACCACTCTGGATACAGGCTACAGATTTCTGTTTTACCAGCGACTGAAACCAGTCAACTATTAATCCAAGGACTGGAATGCTGCTAGCTATAAGAATCCCAGACTTGTTTGCTGACAAGGCTGTGACACATTTGGAAAGCGGAGCGAGACTGCCATTCTCCTCAAGCTCTGAACAGTCCAGGTGACACACACTACATATTATGGCCATACTATAAAGCCTGAGAAATCATCTCTGAAAGAAAATCAGAGGGGATGCGTGTGTGTGTGTGTGTGCAGGCTAAAACAGAGAATTGTGAGTGTTATGTAAATATTGCAATCTTGCATTTCAATGTGTAAAAGTAACAAAGTGGAGAAGTTTGTCTAATATCTAGCTCTTATACAGCACTTTTCAACAGTAGATATCAAAGCGTTATGACTTTACTATCCGATAGCTTTTGTTTAAAAGTTATTCATAAGTATTCCAAATGCTATTTACAATGTTTGTGTGTATTAAGTGTTTGATTACTAAGAAACTGTATGATACTCTCTCTCTTTGAAGCTGACTAGAGACTGTTAACTATATTCAAGGTTTTACATACAATAGCCCTGAGGTCTAACTCTGTGTTATGCTTTCTGAACATTTTGGAAGAGACAGAACTCTGACCTGTGCTTCAGCAAAAAGGTAAAGCTGAAGTGCAGGAAAGGTGGGGGGGGAGAATAATAGAGTTTAACATAATATTACCTCAGCACCCACCTGTCCATTACATATGTTTTGAGATTATCTGGCACAGCACACTCAGTTCAGGTCTCTTCCCTGCTCGGGAAGAGATTCTTCTGCTGGGGGAGGAGGGGTTTAATACAATAGAGGTCTATAAAATCATGACTGATGTGGAGAAAGTGAATAGGGACATGTTATGTACCCCATCCCTTGACACAAGAACCAGGGATCATTCAATGAAAATTAAAGGAGGCAGGTTTAAAAACGAACAAGGAAGTATTTCTTCACCCAACACACAGTCAACCTGTGGAGCTTGATGCCCCGGGATGTTGTGATGCCAAAAGTATAACTGGGATCAAAAAAGAATTAGATAAGTTTATGGAGGGTAGGTCCATCAATAGCTATTAGCCAAGATAGTCATGGACATAACCCCATGCTCTGGGGGTTGCTAAACCTCTGACTGCCAGAAGCTGGGACTGGACAACAGAGATTGGATTACTCATTAACAGCCCTGTTCTGTTAATTCCCTGTGAAGCATTGGGCACTATCCATTGTTGGAAGACAGGATATTGGGCTAGATGGACCATTGGTCTGACCCAGTATGGCCATTCTGATGTTATTTTGAGGTTTCCCCTATAGCAGGAATCAAGGCATTCATAGCGGGCATCATAATATGCAAGAGACTGCGACACATGGTGTAAGGTAGGGAATGTGGCATTACTGACCTCTTATGTTCGGCTCCTCAGGCTTGGGGTGCATGAGACGGAATGGAAGCTCTGTGCTGACTTCACTTTGGGGAGAGAAGAGAATGCATCATACCTACATGCCCATTAACTCCTGTTTTAGTCAAGCCTACACCTCCCCAGTACGATCTACCCATGTCTACTAGATGTGAAGTCCAGTTCCACCCATCTCTAAAACTCAGCTACATTCAAAGCTCCCCACCCCCACAAAAACCAAAACCACCAAGTTCAGATTTGCTTGCTCAAAACCCAACTGCAGCCATTGCTGTCCTCTACCATTGGTTCTAGCACAAGGCCTGCGCTTAGTCCTAAATTAGTTGTTTTGCTCCTTTCTAGAGGCCGTGCACGTAACTAAAGCATAGACATCTTTATCACACTGGAGTATTCAGAGTCCTTTGACCTAACAGGTTAAGGGGTTTTTAATTTATGCGGGGGGTGGGGATAGGAGGCAAAGTGTCATGGCCTTGATTGTGTCGTTTGGAAAGGCAGAAAACGTAGCAGCTTTACCTGGAGGTGAGATCTCCCAGCATGCTAAGTAAACAGAAAAACAAAAAACGTGCTTGTAATGTGCCCTTTGCTCCATGAATACATCCAAACAAGACAAAGCTTCCAGCTAACCAGCCATGCCCTATTCTCTCTTCAGTCATCTAGCACAATGGCTCTAGACGGTGGGTCTCTGATGGTCTGGAGCACTTCCAGGTGGCCCATCTGCCAAGCTTCCACACAGATATTTCCTGCTTACTGGAGCACAGTCCAGGATCCTAAGGCTTTCAAGAGGTTCTTTAGGCCAATAAAATTAGAGAAACCCAAAGCGCATCTCCGCACCCTGCATCGTTACTTAATGTCCATCTTGGCTGGGTGTTTCTTCTGTGTAAGTTCAGCTATGATCACGAGTGAACCAAAGTGAGCTAGAGAAATTAGAGCAGTAAGGACTGCAGGCACGGAAGAAAGATTCCATATTAACATAAAATCCTATCACTAGGGTGGGAAAGAAAAAGCACACACAAATGGCGGAGTGGGCACCACCAGGAAGCCTCATCCCATTATATTGCAGAGAGTTCATTTTCCTCATCTCCTTAACACCGTCTCAATATTTTTTTGGGGGGAGGTGGGGGGAGGTATAATCAAGTGCTGCAGTTGCTGTAGGAAAGGGGTGGTGGGATTTGGAATGAGAGGAGAGTTGTCCATCAGATCTTTAGTAGTTCGATGAGTTTATGAACCACTGAGTTATAGCAGCATCTCCACTGAATTCAGTTCCCACTGGTCCTTTCCCCACACCCTCCCATGTCTTTTCTCTCTTCTCCCGCACAATGCAATGCTCAAATATAAACATCTCTGCTTCAAAGAAATTATGCAAGCAAGAATAAGAAATCAGACGGTAAAGAATCAGATTAGGTGATACTTATAAATAAGTGTTTCTTTGTCAAATCCATCCTGTGGATGGAGGGAAGGGGGTTTTGAACCTCAAACAGCAAATGTTCACAAGGCTCCATTCACAGCTGCCCCCTAAATCCACAGGATGGATTAAAACACAAGCCAGGAGACCATGCAAGGCAACACTTATTTTATCACAAGTACAAGCCAAACCATTGATCCTGATTTAGATTATAACAAGATCGAGACACAGAGAATCCGGTGATGCTGAATGCAAATGCAAATCAACACTTCCCACCAGCTGAGAGTTATTCTTGTCCCCTTCCATATTGCCACTGATATCAGGAAGCTGAACGTCCCCCATAAAGCTAAGTAGTGGGGGATAACACCAGAATTTCCCAGTAAGCTCAGTGGGTAGAAGGTCTGGACCACAGCATGTTTGGGCCCAAGGGTGTGCATCTCAGCCTTGTGCAGTAGGCAAGTGAAGACTTGGAGGTACATTTTTGATTGAAGCTTTATTTGCATTCTTACAGCATAAAAAAAACAACACATTTTCAAAATCGGAGAGGAGTCTACACTCAGAATTGAGCTGCAAGGGCATCTAGCATCTGAGGAAAGTTCTCCCCTTACAGATTGGGAAGAATTTAGGGCTGGCCAAGTGAGATGACATTGCCTAGAGGCTTCCAACCTCAAGACAGCATGTTCTAAACTGCACCCCCTTTTAGGGGGACCAGATAGCAAGTGTAAAAAATCAGGACATGGGGGGTGGGGTGGGGGGTAATAGGAGCCTATATAAGAAAAAGACCCCAAAATCGGGACTGTCCCTATAAAATTGGGACATCTGGTCACCCTACCCCTTTCTCCTAACTGTGGACTGTCCTCTACAAAACAGGCACATTTTCCATCTCTAGTCTATACAGATACGAAGTGCATTGCTCTTACCCTGAGACAACGAGCTTCACCTTCACCTTGTAGGCAACCAGAATCCCCAGCACCGTCTTGTCGATCCCATCCTTAATACTACAGGAAAGAAAAAGAAAAGTCAGAGTGGGAACTACACAGTGCACTATCAGCACATGGCTAGAATCAAGCAGCCAAGTGAGCACATCCCATTCTCAGGTATTAAACATATTGAGAGAGACCTTGGGACAGTGGATACCCTTCCACACCTGGAAATATAGCCTGGGGCACACACCAAGGTGAAATAGATCCCAGCCTGAATGAATATAAGTCACTCTTCCAACTTGACCTATATGCAAAACTGAATGTGATATTATAGGATATTCTCTCTCTACCCTCCCTTCCTCTTTGGTACTCTCTATCGGTTGGTACCCTTCAGAATAGGACTCACATGGTACTGGAAGCCAAGTTTGTGTCTTCATCCTTTAACTTTCCATCCAGTGCTATGCCCCGTTTGTCACGGTTATTTGCCAGCAAGGGCAGAAGTATCAATGTCTTGGTGATGGTACTATTTGGCTGCACTTTCTCCCTTAGAGTGGATGGGGGGGGGGAGGAGGAGGAGGAGAGAGAAACACATTCAGTTGAAGAACAGATCTGGTTATGGGAATTTCAGAACAGATGATTGCAGAGCCAGGCACCAACTGCCCAATACTTTCCAGGAAAAAAAAAAGCCTTAAAAACAAAGCTATGTCTGGCTTGATCTACAACCAAGAGCAGAAAATCCAACATTCAGGCCAGACCCAATGCACACTAGCAAAGCAAACTTCAAAGCATTCCTGAAAACTGAGCAAGTGGTTTCAATACCATAATCATTTATCTGGTTTTCACACATTAAGGCCAGAGGGACCATTATGATCTAGTCTGATCTCCTGCCACACAAAGGAAATTCAATTTCATCCAATTATTTTTCAAGCCATTGATTTCTGGTGGCATTACCCCATATCTTTTAGAAACACATCCAATCTTGATTGAAAGACTTCAGGCGAAGGAGGATCCTCCACCCTCCTTGGTAAGTTGTTCCAAGGGTTAGTTACCCTCACTGTTAAAATTTTGCATCTTTATTTCTAGCCTGAATTTGTTTAGCTTCCACTTCCAGCCATTGCAACTTGTGGACCAGTGGATACGTCTACACTGCAAAAACAAAACCACAAAAACCCTGCAGCAGTGAGTCTCAGTCGGAGTCAACTGACTCGGTCTCAGACTTGCGCTATGGGGCTAAAAATAGCAATTTCCACTTGTGCTGGAACCGAGGCTCTGAAACCTGGCAAGCGAGGGGGGTGGGTTCATATCCCAGACTCCAGCCCAAGCTGGAATGTCTACGCTGCTATTTTTAGCCCTGTAGCCCTAGTCTGAGTCAGCTGACCCGGACTCAGACTCTCTGCCGTGGGTTTTCAGCTAGACTAGAGATCCTTCTACCGCTCCCCATGTAGGCCATCAACAAGTCACCTATTGGATAAGTAAAGTAAACGGAGTTTCTTAAGTCTCACAATCATGTAAAGTAACCACAAACAAGCTCCCAGTGTGAATGAAATACAAGCAAAATAAGTTACAGTATTTAATCTCAGATCAAATCGATAAATCACTCAAGGCAACAACTCTGCTTTTCTCTTTAATTACTCAGCCCTCTACCCCCTTGGTACCAGCCCCTTCTACATTACTGAATAGACCATTTAGGCTTACAGCCTGGAGCCTTACACAACTCATGTGTTAGTCTGTTTTGTGTAGAGTGGAGCACTAATTCAGGACTGCAAAGCTCATTTTTCCCCCATCAAGCACTGGTTGAGCGGGCAAGCAGGCCAAGGACTGGCATTTAGGTAGGTCAGCAGGCTGTGCGCCAAGATCCAGTTGGTTACTTTATCTGGGCTATCTGGCAAGGATACACTGGTGGACTTGGTGCAGATTGTTAGGTTTGGGGATTTTAAAATTACTTAAAGACACGAACATGGTGTTTGTTTTTTTTAAACAATAGATATAAAAATAATAGATACGGAATCAAAAACAAAAGGTACAGCTCAATATACATAGCAGCTGTGGGCCCATTTCTGCCCTCTCTGGGAACTGTATTCATAACCAAAGGCAGAATCAAGTCCTGTTTTCCTGGAAATTCACCCACCACTAGAAGGGACTGTTTTATGGTTAGCTCAGGCTAGAATGTTATTAGAATGTTATTAGAATGTTATAATTGTTGGTCTAATAAAATCTCACTCACTAGTAATAGCTACACAGCTACTGTGATCTTAACTACACATTGAAAACCGGGTAAATATATACAGACTGCTATTTTAAGAATATTTATATTTATTTAAAATAAAATATTTATTTTAAAATATATATATAAATGCATATATTTAATGCATTTCATTGACCTGACACTCAATTCTGAAGGCTCAATTAAAGTTATTCAGTTAAGCAGGTATTTTGGGGATGTGCCCCACAGTTTTGAAAGCCTATAACTAATTTAATAAAATAAAATAGCCCCCTTGAATGGGATTGTCTGGCAGTTTCAGTGCAGGATGTGGCATAGCTGTTGTGACTCTCAGAAGAGTGATCTGTAAGCCAGCCATAGCCCAGGGTGACAATTACAAGTTATCATTTTGAAACTCCTTTAAAGATGGATGGGATGGATTTATGCTCTTATCACAGTCAACCTATAGAACTTGTTGCCAGAGGATGTTGTGAAGGCCAAAACTATAACAGGGTTCAAAAAAGAACTAGAGAAGTTCCTGGAGGACAGGTCCATCAATAGCTATTAGCCAGGATGGGCAGGGATGCAACACTATGGTCTGAGTGTCCCTTGCTTCTGTTTGCCAGAAGCTAGGGATGGATCACTTGGTGATTACCTGTTCTGTTCATTCCCTCTGAAGCACCTGGCACTGGCCACTATTGGAAGACAGGATACTGGGCTAGGTGGACCATTGGTCTGACCCAGTATGGCTGTTCTTATGCATTGGAATATCCCGTCTTTCAGATCCCTGAGTGGAGGGCTGGGGCAGTCCCTGGCTGGTGGGAGAGGAGACTCCCATCTGAATGTAGCTGGGCAGAAGTGGCGCCTTTTTAATTACTTGGCGCCTTTTACATTTTACTCCCCCGGCGGCACTCCGGGTCTTCGGCGGCGGGTCGGGGGGAGCGGAGATAAAAAAGGCGCCACCCCCGGTACTCACCCGGTGGCACTCCGGGTCTTCAGCAGCACTTCGGCATTGGGCCCTTCACTCGCTCCGGTCTTCGGCGGCATTGCAGTGGGTGGGGGGGGTCCTTCAATGCCGAAGACCCAAGCGAGTGAAGGGCCCGACGCCGAAGTGCTACTGAAGACCTGGAGCGCTGCTGGGTGAGTACCGGGGGTGATGCCTTTTTATTTTATTTTTTTTTAATCTCCACTCCCCCTGTTTTTTGCACCTGGCTACGCCACTGCCCATCTCGTGTCTTTTCCATTGTTTCAAACAAAACTACAGCGGGCAAGAGAATTCTCAGTGTATCAAGTGAACTGTTTTCATCCAGGGCATGGGGTGGAGAGAGAGAGAGAGAGAGAGAGAATGGGGCTGATCATCGAAAACATGATAGCTGACCTCTGTCAGCGTCCCCTTAGTCTGAGGGGTGGCAGGGCTGCACCAGGAAACTAGCTCCAGACCATAGCTGAGAGCCTCTAATTTCTGGTGAGAGAAGATACTTAAAAAGGGAGCGAAGGAAATGAGTGAGTAGGGTAGAGAAGGGAAAGCAGGACAATCAGATACTCACTGCACCTCCTCCATTGCTACCGCCTTCGTGTAATAGTCACTTGAGTACAAAACCACATTGGCAACTTGCTCCACTAAGAGAGAGAGAACAAAAACAGGAGTGAGGGGACAGAATCAATGATACAGACACAGCATATAAACAACGTAAACGACTACCCTTCTCAAGAAGGAACAAACAGGGACAGCAGGTAGGGCACATACAATTCACAGACCTCCCATATAACACAAGCTCTAGAATTTTACCCAGTTACCCTCATATTGGGTTCAATAATGTATGTTTGACTAAAACACATATTCCAGAAAGGCACAGGGCCCTGAAGCCATCAAAAGATGGAGAATTCACCACTTTCCTTAGTAGTTTGTTCCAATGGTTAATCATCCTCACTGGTAAAAATTTACACCTTATTTCTAATTTGAATTTGTCTGGCTTTAGATAAATGGTATTTTCTCCCTGTGGAGATCACAGTCAATCACCTCTTGATCTTTTGGATAACAAACAGATTGAGTTCTTTAAGTCTTTCACTGTAAGGCATTTTCTACCCAGCCCTCATATCATTTGTGTCTATCTTCTGCACCCTCCCCAATTTTTCAACATCCTCTTTAAAACGTGACACTAGAACTGGATGCAGTGTTCCAGTATCAGTCTCCCCAGTGCTGTATGCAGGGGTAAAATCACCACCCTCTTCCTACTCACTCATCCCGTTTATACGGCCAAGGATCAGATTCATCTTTTTTGTCGCAGTATCGCACTGGGAGATCACGCTGAGTTGCTTGTCCACTATGATCCCTAAACTCCTTTACAGAATCACTGCTTCCCTGGATATAGTCACCTATTCTGTAGGTATGGCCTGAATTCTTTGTTCCTTGATGAACGACATGGCATTTGTCTGTATGAAAACACATTTTGTTTGAATGGCCCAGCTTACCAAGTCACTCTGTAGGACTGCCCTGTCTGCACCATTTACCATTCTGCCAACCTGTGTGTTGTCTGCAAATTTTATCAGCAGTGATGTTATACATACTTCCGGATCACTGATAAAAACATTGAACAGTGCCAGGCCCAGAACTGATCCCAACATAACCTCACTAGAAATAACCACATTCAATGACAATTCCCTGTTGGCAACCTCAAAGTGTCCTGCTGCTCACGCAACCTCTGCATCTCACATATTTAAGCCCATCACCTTCCCACACAGGAGGCAGCATGATTTAAAGCACTGGACTGGGACTCTGGAGACCTGCTTTCTACCGCCAGCTCTGCCACCGACCCGTTGCCTGGCCTTGGGCAAGTCATTTGCCCTCCTTGCGCCTTTGTTTCCTCTCCTATCCTTTGTGTGTCTCTCTCTCACTAGGTGTTCGTAGATAGCCCAATACAATGGGGTTTTAATTTTAGTTGTGGCCTTTAATTTGTATTATGGTAACACCTAAAGCCAAGCAGTACTGGAACTGAACCTCAATATCCTGCCTTTGCCCTTCCTCAGGGAGAAGGGGGGGACCCCTTCAGTGCTCTAAGATGGGCAGTCTCCCATAGCAAGAACCCTCTTGCCAGCTGTCATTTTGCTTGTATCAGTGATGGGCCTGAAAGGCAGCAGAGGCATTGGAGCAGCATAGGGACACTGACAGGGCAATGGGATGGAGCAGGGTGACCCCACGTCTGTTTAAGTGAGGGACACTAATAGGTTCCAGCTCTGACGACAGGATGAAAACACAAACCCCACGCTGCGTAGCCCCCACGGGATTAAGGACAACAGCAAAAACGTACCCAGCACTCTGATCTTCTTCACTGTTTTCTCTGTATTGTTGGTCACGGTGACAGTGACAGGAATGGGCTCGCCATGGTAAAACACCTGGAAGAGTCAGATGGGCTCAGCACTTGGCGCATAACCTAGCAGAAGGGCTTGTACAATCTAAAAAAAAATACAATTCTAGTCCCCCTGTGGACTGATGATGGGGCATCAACTACTCCAGGTACATACAGCCTTCGTGCCTACGGCCTGAGCCGAAGCCCACTGAAGCCAATGGGAGTCATTCCACTGACTTCAGTAGTCAGTCACTATCGAATTGTGAAGCAGAGCACCAGTGAAAGAGCTCACGCACTCCATTCCCGGCTATTGCTGACAGCAGCGACTGAGAGAAATGGTGTCAAAGCACTTGAATGTTAGAGCAAGTCAGAACAAACTGAATCCAGGTGCGAATGTCTCAGGGAGGGGGTTTTGGGGCAGCGAAGGAGGTATTTGCTTCTGAGCAATGAGCAGATGAAGCTCTCCGGGGCAGGCTGCTCACCTCTTTACTTAGACGTGCTCTCAGGTGCAGTGGCTTGCTGGACATGAAAAACTGCCAGGTGGTCTCAGCTTGAGGTTGGGGTCCTGGTTCTTCTGGGGCAAACTGTACTTTACGGATCAACAGGCGTACAAAATTCCTGAGGAGCAGCAAACAGAACTGCAGTTACACAGAGCAGACCCTCCTACTTCACTGGAGTGGTTGTTCACCTGCATTCACATCCCTTTCGGAACATTTCCGATGGAAGGATCTGAACACCAATACCTAGAGCAGAGCTGAACCAGCGCCAAGAGACTGTCCTGATTCCACACACATTCTGTTACCTTTTGGGAATTCGCTCTTCCACGTTCTCTGTACAGAAAGCTTTCACCTCAAAGTCCACCCCGCAGCACTGCCACAGAGAAAGAGAGAGAGAAGCTGTGAAATTTGTTAAGTGGTTAGCAGCCTTCCTATACAAGAAACTCTGCAGATGTAACACCCAGGGTTTGGAAAAATCTTCCTGAACTTGACAACTGACACTTCCAAGCCTATTATGTTTCCTAGTGAGGCAAGTGCTATCGACTCACTCCGAGCAACATGTCCCATGTTTCTTAAAGATTAGCCACCTGTCCTGTGTTTCTAAAATGACTAACATCAGTCCCATTTAGTTCTCTCTTTAAAGATTTGTGAAACCTTTTGCTAACATATTTCTATTGTTAAGCAGACATACAATGTATCCCTGTGACCTCCAGTGTCTGCCCAACACCTTCTGCATCACTTTTTCATAAGTCCAATCTAGTTGTTTGGACAAGTATCCAATATTTTAAAATGCATTATCCTTGAGTAACTGCTCTTGTTACCTAGTTACTCTTAACAGGGTTTGTTTTTTTACCCAAACACGTAACACAAGTTTCTGCCATATATATTTTAAATTAATGGGAGATCTTGGCACTTGGTCTAAAAAAAGGCATTAGATTTCAGACACTTGAGTGAGAGTGTGTGTGATGTGAGTGAATATTTAACACAAGCTTGTCTGACACCACACTTATTTCATTTGTGGCCAACCTCCATCTTCTGTAGTATTCTGAAGGAAATGGAGTCTCAGGTTTCAGTGAAATGCTTTCCTCCCCCAACTGTTATATTGCTATTGATCGGTTACTAAATGAGACTGGATACTCAAAATGCCTCTGACTCCATCCCACTCTGGCTTATTTCCTGTTGGGTGGTTCACAAGATGGCACAATTCCACATCTCCAGTGATGGAAAGTACATCAACTTCTGTGTTACCTAGTTCTTGCTCTCAAAATATTTGAGCCAAATATGCATCTCTTGCTCTTTCCTGGGAATTTCTTCCCCAGTAGAAGTACTGAATATATGAAACCCTGTTGGTCTCACCTTCCCGACATCATTAGGGGCTGGTTGCAGGGAAACTGAACAGGGCAGATAGTCTGGAAACTGAGGAAAAAAAAACCAGAAAAATTATCCAGATCCCCAACTCTATTGCTCCTAAAATGATACAGCGCTCGTGATAGGTGCATGAGTGACAGCCTGAGACAGCACAGCCCATTAGTTCTCCATAAAAGACAAGCCTGAGCAGCATCAAGGCAAGCGTCCCCACATTACCCTGCCCAAGTGCCCCAACCAGGCACTGGAGGACCACTGACATTGTTAATTGTATTCCAATAGTGCCTAGAGAGCCCAGCTGAGAGAGAGGCCCCATTGTTCTAGGCACTGCACACATGTAAGCTCCATGGGGCAGGGACTTCTAATTTAAATAGATAAGACAAAGGGTGGGAGGAGAAACAAAGGATCGGAAAGGGGAAATGATTGCCCAAAGTCAGACAAATTGGTAGCAGAGCCCCAGGATTAGAACCCAGGACTCCTGACTTCCAGTCCAGTGCCCTACCCAGGGGATAATTCTGCTTCCATTTCAGGGGAGTGAGTGAAAGATAGTAGATTCATGTAAGGGTCACATGGGCACAGAGACTGAACTAACGAGGCCAAAGATAGTGTTTGAGGACATCTGTCCATGGGGAACTGGACTGAGATCACTAGAACAGCCAGCAGAGAGTAAGAGCGCTCAGTCGCTTTTGGCCTGGGCAGGACGTGAGCTTGTGATGAAAGGCTCCAGCTCTGCCCCGCTGGAACGACATGGCCTGGAAGTTCTACCACCTGTGCCACTCTAGAAATCCCAACAGTCTGAGCTTGGTGGAGGTCTCCATTTTGTCTTTGAATGGTTAGTAGACATGTCACAAGCCTAGACTTTGCAGAGACAGTTGAAAGCCTATTTGCTACAGTATCAGCATATGGCAGATTCTAAATGGGATTCCACTAGATACTATGGTCTCTAAGGCAGAGTGAAGGGGACGGGATGTCTCTGGGGTAAGAAGAGGAAGCAGACATACGGGCTGTAGATCTACTCATGTTAGTGTTTTCTATAGCACCTATCAAAGTGGTATCTAAGACGTTCTGATGATACAGTGATAAGCACCAGTATAAGCACCTAGACAGGCTGGTAGAAGAAGATTGCACAGTGACATTCTGAGGGGACTTCACGGAGTCTCTGGGCCAGACGTGCATGAAGAAGCTTGGGAGCAGGCTAGCAATGGTGTCTGGGGAGATAGCAGGTGGGAGGATAAGGCTGGGGTAGAAGTGCTGACAGACTAGGCAGAGGGAAGGAGCCAGGCATCCTGAAAAATGGCCACAGAAGAAGTGGTAGCAGCCAGGTTAAGTATCTGACTGCCACTGAGGCCTGTAACCTGGGTGTCACCTTCGACTCTGCTCTCTCACCGGAGCAACATTCAGGCCATTTCTACATCTGACTGCTTTCTCCACACAGCATCTCCAAACTCCAGCCCCTTCTCTTGTCCACACAGCCAAAACTCTTGTCCAAGCCCACATTACTTCACATCCTGACTACTGCAGTCTTCTCCTTTCTGGCATGGATTCTCTGCTCCCCCCAACTCTATTCAGAATGCTGCTGCTAAGATCGCCTTCTTGGCTAGTCACTCTGACCATGTCAGCCCTCTGAGGCCCGCCTCTGACTCACCTCCACATCAAATACAAACTTCTCGTAACTTCTTCATAACTCAGTCTGACCCCACTTCACAGAACTAGAAGCCTACCTCACTGCCAACCCTTGCCCTCCCTCTCCAAGCATTCCCAGCCTTTTCCTCCACTGGCCAACTTCTTTGAATCGCATGCTTTTTCATATGCTGCCCCACAAGCACAGGAAAAGTTCCCCACTAAAAGCCGTACAGCCACTTCCTTACCTTTTTCCATACCCCTCAAGACGCATGTCTGCTGTGGAACGTCCAAAATCCAGCCCGCTGCCCATAGCCACGCAGGTATCAAGTGGTCACTTCCCTTCTTTCCTTCCTCTCTCTCATATCCCACCCCAGTAAAATATTTGTAATCATTGCAACTAATAAAGCTGGGCCAATTTGCCACCAGATTCATTTGCTTCTGTGTTGTAGCCACATCCCCTATTCTTGACCATGCGTGTCTTGAGACTGTAAGACCTCGGGGGCTGTCTCTGATCTGTGCTTATACAATGCCGAGCATAATGGGGCCACTAAACCCAGCTGGACTTTTGGGTGCTACCCAAATATAAGCAATAATTGTATTAACTCATTTTAATAATTATTCCAGCAAAACGTAGGGTTTTTTGCAAATCAGTTCCACAACTCAAGGCATAGACACATCCTCATGAGTACACAAGGCAGTAGTATAAGCAAATATTCTGGCAATAGGGGAGCGAGATACATAGGTGGAAACATTAAGGGCTTTTATTGTCATAAAGTCATTATGGTTCCCTGTATAAGGAATTTTTTTGTGCGCAGTCAGAACCCCTCCAGTTTGTTAAATCCTTAGCACACTTGGGGTGGTAAATAATGGTTGCCATCTAACCTCTGACTCAAAGTTAGAGTTTTAGGTAACATTAATCTCCTCTTCAGATTATCATGGAGTGCTGACAGGCTGGATAATAAGAGTCAAGTAGAAGTGGGTCAGAGGCTCATGTGAGCCACTTACTGTTAAAACAAAAGGGTAAGCATTGTTCCCCAGCTTCTTCATCAGACATTCCTGCAATTGGGAGAGAGATTCCCATTTCTCCACTGGTGGATACAACTGTATCCTAGAGAAAAAAAGATCCTTTCGGAAGGTCAGACCCATCACATCAATGTCTTCTTGGCCATACCGGAAAGCACAGGTCAGAGTCACATACACTGGAAAGAACATACACAGTAGATTACACTTTCAGTGAGCAGCCAATTCAGAGATTTTGAGACTTAGAGACCATCTGTGTTACAATTATGGAATCCAGGAAAACAGTTACAACACTGTTGTGTCCCTGGCCCTGGTTCCAATTCATAATATAGCAAAGATCTTAAGTTTGTTTTGTAATGAGACTGAAGTCTTGGACCATATTCAAACAGCATGTCCAACAACCGGAAGTTTTCTCCCCAGGATGAGGTGAATTTTGCGTAAGCCAATTAGAGCCCTGAAAGCAGGAGAGATCCTTGCTTTGCAGTGAGAGATCACTGAAGAGGTAGCAAACTCTGAAATCATTTAAAACATCAAACCCTTCTTCCCCTTGATGATCTCGGGATCCACTAACAAGACACCATCTAGAAAGGAGAAATAGAAAATAGTAAATGTTAAGCAGTATGGGGGAAAAATAATTGAGGTTTATTAAGTCAAAAAAACCTATAAGAAGAGCTTGTGTCTGGACTTACCTACAGGTTCCACACCATCTATGTGGTCAATGAAGTCTCGTTTTCCCAGGTAGATAGTCACCTGTAGGAAGCAGACAATGCAGATGGGGCAAGACCAGCCAGGGCATCAATCCTGCCAAGAGCTGAGCACTTTAGCCCAATTGAGCAAAATAACTTTTAAGCATATGCTTAAAAAAAATTAAGCACATGAGTAGTTTCCGTTGAAATTATCAGGACTATTCATGAGCTTCAGTATTTAACTGGATCAGGGTAAAGGGCTCAGCACGTTGCAGGACCAAACTCCAAAAGCACGACACAATTCCTTGTGTCTGCCGCACAGGAGCTGTGCAGTGAAGGACTTTTGCCTCAAACTGGAAAGATGGCGAGTCGGTCTTGATTTAGACATCTGGGCAGCTAACAGAGAGACGTCCAATGAGGTGGTTGGGAGAGGCGTTGCCATCCTATGTAAGATCGGTCATTATGTTAACATGCAGGTAGTCCACTTTATCAATTCTGTAACATAGCCAACCACTAGGGCGTGAGTATAAATCAAATTATTTTCAAAAGAAGTGGGGTGAAGACAAGTGTTCCATAAATAGATCCCCAGGTAAGCAAGGCAGTGGCCCTGTCCACCCATGGCTCTACCTGGTGGGTATGCATGCCAATTACTGTGCTACTTACAGCTTTATCACGGGACATCTTCTTGTAGACAACATGTGATTGAGGGGGACTGGCGTTCTTCAGAGAAATTGAGGAAAGAGTAGCCACCTTATGAGACTCAGCACAGCTCATTTCCACAGATGGGTGGGACACTGGGAAAGAACAAAGCCTTCTGACAGCAAGAGATCCTTGAACAAGTGTCAAAAAGAGAAGATGAATGAGATTATAGGCATGTTGAATAGGATACAAAATCTTAATGCACTACATTGGTTGGTTAAAACAGACTATTCCCTCTGAAAACTCAAGTCAACTCTGGTGCTAGGGGATGGTTTCCCTTTTATTTTACCCTTTCCCTCTGCATTAAATTGGAAGCTTAAATGAAAAGTTCACTTTTCAAGCTACCAATGGGAGTTATGAAGCTAAATTCTCACACAGATGGCTTTTGGGGTGGGGGTGGAGAGTAAGATAAATAAGCACAAGCAGAAGCAGGCGAAACACCTGATCAGATTTTTTTTTTTAATTTGACCTTTTAACTCAAACTGGATTTTTCTTAAAAAAACAAAAACAAAAAAAACAAACCAAACCACCCCATACAGTAGGGAGAAAAAATTGCAAAGTTTCCATTTTTTAAAAGTTTGTTAGAAAATTCAAAGCAAAACTATTTAGCTTTTTGATTGTTCAGTAGGTGCATGGTGGGGTTCAGTTTCCCTTTTTCAGTATTGCCTATTTTGATTGATCTTAGTCACATGATAGGATTATTTATTTCAAAAATTTAAACCTTTCAACTTCTCAGAAAGTTCAGTTTCAAAAAAATCCTTTTGAAAATTAAACTGGGCATTACAGAAAACGAAAATGCTTGCAGATGTCATCTATTTTTCAACCACTTCTGCTTCTTACATTACCCTGTGAATCTTTACAATATGGCATGACATTTATTAGGAACTTACACAACACAGACACTCAGAAATTAGTTTCTGACTCCCTCCAAGAAAAAGCTGGTCCTTCTCTTCACCTTTGGAATCAGTTCATTGAAGGAAGTATTTTGGAAGACCAGGATTAAAGAGAGAAAAATTAAAACATTCCCCACCTTTGCCAAAGTGGGAGCAGCTTTTCTAAGAGTAGTATGGAATTCCTCAGGGGAACACGTGAGCCAGAGGATTTGAGAAAGAGGAAACTAGGGAAAGAAACAGCAGTATCTTTAAATACCTTGCAGTGCTCCAAATTCCACAGCAGCCACCAGAGGAGAAAGTTCCCAGAGCAATAAAATAACTCCTTCTAAACCACTGAACAAAGGTAAATTTTCCAGGCAGCCAGGTCCTGCAGCTCTTCCCTGTCTGTGGGAGTGACTCACTAGCCTGCTGGTGAAAAAGGAGGGCAATATGTAGCCCGAAATGAAAATGGGTTTCTGGTTCTTATGCCCAGATTTTCAAAAACCAATCCCCTTCAAGCAGCAAATATTGTACCTGGATTAAGAACAGATCAGCTAGGTCAGCAGTGCTGGCTATTACTTACGGGACCCCAGATCTTCAAGAGTCTACAGTGCCATCCTACCAGATTCATTGGGTGTAAAGTCAGTACAGATTTATATGGAGCAGGAGGGTTATGGAAAGCAGCTTTATTCTAAAGCTCTTTCTCCATCTCTTTCTCTATTGGGGCTGCAAATCATGCAGCCTAATAAGGAGCTAAACAAAGGACTATTTGTGCGACATTGAACTTGCAAGCATTAGAACAAATCTCTATAAATACAAGCTATTCTAAGAGTTGCAAGTACATTATCATTAGATATGTTATTTCCACAATTGAACTGTAGAGTTAACACAAAGCTTATCTATTGTTGTGTCACTGATATCCCTCGGGCACATTGTACAATAGTTTATGTTGGTGGCCCACCCACTGTTTTCTTCAATTGGTTTATAAAGAGGAAATTACACATGCTCAATACATGTTTAAAGATGTACAATAGAGATGAGCAATTTGATCAATTTAGCTTTTTTCCGCTCATGAAGGGTCTGAAAATAGCTTTTGCTTTTCTTGAATTTCAATTTGATTTTGTTCACACAATAATTTGTGGTTTCAGAGTAGCAGCTGTGTTAGTCTGTATCCGCAAAAAGAACAGGAGGACTTGTGGTACCTTAGAGACTAACAAATTTATCTGAGCATAAGCTTTTGTGAGCTACAGCTCACTTCATCAGATGCCTCTGATGAAGTGAGCTGTAGCCCACGAAAGTTTATGCTCAGATAAATTTGTTAGTCTCTAAGGTGCCACAAGTCCTCCTGTTCTTTTTGTGAATAATTTGTGGGTAATTCATGGCTTGTAAATATTTCAAAAGCAGCTGTGTTTGATACTTTGATGGGACGTTAGTTTTCACTGGAGAGATCCCCGGCCTTCTTTCCATTCCCCAACTGAATTAAACTCTTGCAATCAGGGTTCCAGTAAGCACTCAAAAAGTCAAAGTTTGTGAATATTCACCCACATTTGCTTAGAGTTAGTAGCTGCTGCAAACATCCACAGGTGGGATTTTCACAAGTGCCCAAGAGGTTTACCTGGGACTGTGCCACCAAATCCTTTAGATAAATCCCACCCCTCCTGTCCATAAGAACTTGATGAGAATATTTGGGGAAAGTAAAAATGCCTGCACCCCTCAATTCTATTTTTATTTGAGCAAACATTTATAGGGTAGAGACCAGAGGTGTTTCCCCAGGTCTAGCACTCACCACTCTGTCACAGAACAGGCTGGGAGCAAGCTACTCTTGTTGAGAGCTTCCCTGGTCAGCACTCAGGGTGGGGTGGGGTTGGGAAATGATCACCAGCACTTCACAACAGAGACAGGGCCTTCATTTACTTTTGTGGAGTAGCTAGCACAAGGCCCTGATGCTGAATGAGACCTGAGTGCACTACTGCAACGATGGACATTTTAGGAACAGCTCTGAGGTGGTTCCACCCTTCCCACATACTTCTAGGAGCATGTATGTCTGAAGAGAGCAGAGCTATTCCAGGGAGACAATCTCCCATAACTGTGCCAGTAAGGCAGAGCCAGCTGTTTATTTCCAGTGGTGTGGTGTGCAGAGCAGACATATTTCACTCAAGTTTGAGCTGAGGAGGCAACTACCCACCAGAAAAGCCTATTCAATCAGAAGAAATGCCAGATGGGGATGAGTGGACTTGCTGGTAGCTCTGTTCCTGCAGTGTTTCTCAGAGCCTGTGGGTTCATTTCAGGTGGAGTGCAAAACCAGTCTGCAGTCAGAACCTCTGGGAAGACCCTGTCACCTTCTAGAACAGAGAACCAGGCAACTCTCCCCACCAACTTTGTTCTCTCCCTTTCTCCTCTGCTGCCTCCACCACAAGGCTTTTGGGGAAGAGGGCACCATGGAGCTCAGTCATCCCCCCTCTTGGCAAGGAGGCAGAACATGAATCTGACAGAACCCTGTCTGGCTCCTCTACTTCTTGCTAAAGAGGATGATAAAGGCAAGGCAAGCAGAGGTATCGACTAATCCCGGTGACAGGAAGACCCAATTCCACCCCCTTTCCAGCAACTCTGCCACTCAAGATTCTCTTCACCTCCCTGCTCCCAGTTATTTCTGCTGAAGACGCTGCCTCTTCTAGCATGGCATTGCAGCAAAGGGTTACAGGCTAGGGGAGCTGTTCTTTGTTGATGGCAGTGCCCATTTCATATACATTTTTCCTTTCCTGACTGGGTCCATAGTCAGTTTCCCTTGGGCATAGACTCACCTGACTCCCAAATAGAGAGGCAAGAGTAAGGACATTAAGCCTCCAAAAGGACTCCAGAAAGCTGCAGCTGCCTCCTCAGAGGGATGTGAAATGGCTCCTCCCTGGTCTTCAGAGTCTGAATTGGAAGATGACAAATTTCTCCAAGAAAGCAAAGTAGATCCCACTACATCCTGCTCTTTAAAGCCACCGTAATAAGAGTGGTGAAAAATCCACTAAGGATCCCCCTAAAATGAAAAGCAAGGGCAAACTGTCTGTTCCCGAGTTAACTGAAAGTATAGCTGATACGCGAGAGGCTATTAGCAGTCACTGTCTCTGTCAGGTCTGCTTCACTGGACCAGAATTCTTGGCCTGTCTTTGGAAATAGCAGTTGTTTGGAAGATAACTGAGTGCACACGACACAGAAAGCAGAGGTACAACCTCAACTAATTAAACAGGACTTGCACACAAGGGGAATGCAGAAGAGTGGAGTTGGTCACTTGATTTACAGATACATAGTTGTTTATGAGGTGTGTATCTTTTTAGAATTTTAGACGTTTTGACCTATTCTTACCTCTCATTTTTATATGGGTTTGATGTTAATTTACTTAGTAGCATCCAACAAGCAAAACATTTTCTGGCATCAGAACCTCAAACCCAGTTACTGGGTATGTTGTAGAAAAATACAAATATGCCAACTTAAATTATAATATCTTAAACCCTTCCTGATCCTCCCCACCACAGCCTGCAGTTCTTATTAGGGTAGAGTTAATCCCCTGGTAATCTTTCATTGCACTGACTCATCACTTAGCGATCTGCTTTATCTGCAATGCCCCTGAGGTCAGCAGGGCACTGGGCAGATGCCCTCTTAGAAGGACCTGGAGATGCACACTTTACTGCAGGAAGCTTCAGGGAGCGGACAACAGACTGAAAGAAAAATGTGCCTCTAAAATCCAAAGGGGCTTTTACCTTAATTGTCAGTAGAAATGCAACTCTGTTTTTGTCATCTTTGCTCTGCCTTTGAGAGTCAGGACCATCAGCGGAGTTTCTTTCCACACCAAAACAGGAGGTGATTGGCCAAGGAAGCTTCTTAACTGTACAAGTAGTTTGTCCAATATAACCAAAGGAGGTGAAGGCTTTGCTCCATTACTCCAGTGTTGGCACAGGGAGTTACTTTAGTGTTGAGTGTATAGACTGGGGTGGCCAACCTGAGCCTGAGAAGGAGCCAGAATTTACCAGTGTACACTGCCGAAGAGCCACAGTAATACGTCAGCAGCCCCCCCCCCCCCCCATCAGCTCACCACCCTGCTCCCAGTGCATCCCACGCACCGGCAGCCCCGCCCATCAGCACCTCCCCCTCCTTATCAGCTGTTTCAGGTGCAGGAGGCTCTGAGGGCAGGAGGGGGAGGAGCGAGGGCACGGCAGGCTCAGGGGAGGGGGCGGGAAAGGGTGGAGTGGGGGCAGGGCCTCTGGCAGAGCCAGGGGTTGAGCAGTGAGCACCACCTGGCACATCGGAAAGCTGGCACCTGTTGCTCCAGCCCCGGAGTCGGTGCCTATACAAGGAGCCACATATTAACTTCTGAAGAGCCGCATGCGGCTCCGAAGCCACAGGTTGGCCACCCCTAGTCTAGACAGTCTTTATCCACATTTTTAAGACCATGTTGGGAGACTGAGGGGCAATGTAATGATCCAAGCAATAAGGGAGGAACAGACATTTCACAGCAGAAAGTGTCTGAGAAACTAGTAACTGATGGGGAGTTCTTGAATTCAGTAATTCATCCCACACCAAGTATACATCAACCTTTCAAGCCTTGACACATGGCCAGTCCCCAATGCTAGAAGCTTTAAAACAGTGTGACACTGGATCCTGTAACTTCAGTTTCATGGCCACGTTCTTGATACGAGGTAAATCGGGCTCTCAGACAACGGATACCCACCGGAGAGATCTGTCCAGCACAGACGCTGACTTTTCCCCCCCAGTGGGTGCTCCACCCCCGCTCCGCCCCAAGGTCCCACCCCCTTCCCCGATGTCCCCCTTGCTCCACTTCTTCCCACCCCCCTCCTCCAGCCCCCCATCTGAGGTCCCACCCAACAGCTGTGACTGGTGGTTGCTGAACACCCCCTATTGTTTTTTTCCCCATGGATGCTTGAGTTCCAGAGCACCTACAAGTCGGTGCCTATGTGGTCAAGTACCCCACCACCACCAGACCCAAACCTAACATTAGTCCATTGAAACAGCAAGGTGGGGAGAGAAGAAACCGGATATAGGTTCCTCTTTCTTTCAGGGCAAGAAAAAACAAACAAACGAGGAGAAACATTGTGGGTTTTAAAAGCAGAACACAGGTTTATTTACAATCAAGTTCTGGTGGGCAGCTGAATAAATAAAAGATTTGCCCTGTATAATCTCAACTCCCCTCTGCAGAAGTTGTCTGAATGAAAGCCTGGGTTAGAGAGAGACCTCTGTCCTAGAAATAACCCTCTTTCCTAACCCGTCAAAACACTTCCTTAGAAAACAAGCTCAGGAAGGAAGCAAAATAAAGTGCAAATAAAAAGATGACAGAATGCTGGTGGCTTGTCCGAGGCCCGTCTGAGGTGGAAAAGTTTGGCTGGATAAAAGTTACAAAACAAAAGTTAGCTCTCCTCCAACCACCTCACATATTTAGATGCCTGAGGATACAGGGTGTAAACCCTGTTTGATGGCACAGGAAGGGCTCAAGCACAAAGGAGAATATTGCACGTGCTCAGAAAGGAGGCAAGTGGCCTGGGATCGCCAGCACCAGAGCATTACATTCAGGATTGAATCCCATTGCTCCCCTGTGCTTCACCAACAGCCTCCAGTAGAGAAGGATGGATGGAGAGCAGAAGAGACTATACCTTTATTTCCTGGCACTGGAAGTCTTGGTATGGATACATTCCTTGTCACAGCAGCACCACCATCCC